TATATATATATAATCGTATATAGTATGACACAATATTTTTATTTATTGATATTTTATTAAACTTATTTTACAAAACATATTTCAAAAATAAAAATTCAAATGTACAAAATTTGATAAATATATAAGGAATTAAGCTTGAAAATAAGTATTAATTAATGCATATTTAAAACTATTAATGTAATATCTATATAAGTATACTAAAAAATAAAATTATACTTTTGATCCTTTATCTTATTTTTTAAATTTATTTTAGTTCTTTATCCATTAAAATGTTCATTTTGATCATTTATCTTTTATATTTGAATTAATTTGGTCTTTTTAAAACAACAATAAATTTTAATTTTGCACCACAGTTTTAAATTAATTTTTGACTAATTCGAGATATGAAACTTGTAATAATATATTAAACTATATAAAAAATTATAAAATTCAATTGACGTTGAAATTCATAAGAATTATAACATAATGAAAAATCTTGTGAAAAATATGTCTCATAAACAACTAAAAAATAGTATGAAATCATAGTTTTTTAATTTTTAATTATTTTTTGAACTTATTTTTATGAAAATTTCACCATGTCTATAATTTTTTTTGAATTCTAGTTGCATCAACAATTTTTATATAAATAAATCTAATGAGATGAATTTCAAATCTTAAATCAGTTAAAAGATAATAAAAAAAATCATGTCTTAAAATTAAAAACAATCATTGTTTCAAAAGAAATAAAAGATCATAATAAATATTTTAAGAGATAAAGGACCAAAATGAATATAATAAATAAGATAAAGGACAAAAATAGAATTTAGCAAAAAAAAAACAGCATGTATGACACAAATTTATTTTTTGATTGATTTTTTAATATTTCATTTATTACCGGGGAAAATTTTTTTAAAAAATGGTTTATAAAATTTACATATATATATATATATATATATATTAACACAGAGACAAATTTGAAAATAAATACTACTAATATTAATATTAATATATATATACTTATATATAATGCTATTAATATGTTATATATACAAATATATCAATAAAAAAAATTCATGTATATAATGTAAAATTATTTACGTTAACCATGTATCAAAATTAAATTTATAAAATGTTATTTAATGACGACTTACTATTAATTTGATTTGAATTAGCACTTTGAAACGATTCTTAGTTAAATTTTATTTATTTTTTGATCGAGCCATACAACACCGGTGCAAATAAATATATATATTAAAAAAAATAGCGCTTGATTTTATTTATCTATAGTTGATGAGATCCGAATAACTATTGCAAACATTTTTCTCTAAACTTTGTAATTAATTTGTTGTAGTACTTAAGGGACTTGAATTTGATCGGTATGAGATAGATAGATAGATAGTCTCGATGATCGACGATCAATGATTGCAATAAAAAGTGGCAGGCATCCCTCGCCGGCGGCGGCGGCGGCGGAGGCGGCTTTCCCCTAACGCCGTGTAAGGAAAGGTAAGTTGAAAGAAAAACTTACAGCTAGAGCGTAGAAGTTGAAACCAACACATGCGCAATAATATTTGTTGCATCATCACGAACTTGTATTGTATCGTTCGTGTTTCACAGCCTTCAATCAAGGCGTGGAACGTGTTCCTGAATTAATAAACTAGAAAAACTGCCGACAACAAATTAGGTTTAGGTACAATGCAACGTTTCTTTGTATTTTCTATTGTATGGATGTGCATGTACATCATACATTAATTGGCTGTTCTATTCCACTATAATCCGGATATTTTCACTGCAAGAGACGTATTTTTCATGAGATTGAGTGATCTTCAATATTCCTTGATGCTTTCTACTAATTGGCCATTTGTTGCATGATTACGAATTGTTTTTTTTTTTTTGGTTAATTTACAAATTGTGTCTTTTTATTAGTAAAATGCTAAATAGAAAATGATATTGCTATTTGATTGGAGCTAATGAACTATTAAAAATCCTTAATTAGATCAAAAATTAATATTTATTTAGTAATTAGTTGAAACATAATAATTCTTAATTTAACTTAAAATTTTATTTGTCGAATTAAAGATAAGTAAGAATCAGCTATAAGAATTTCACATTTAACACTAAAGAATATCTTTGAATATGTATGTCCACAAAAATAAAATTTTAACAAAAGCAAAAGTGTTGGATGCAAGTTCAAAGAGGAATTTGAATAGTTTACAAATTAATTTCTTTAACTAGTCATAATAAGCAATATCTTTAAAATTAGAGTGATTATTAAACTGAGTCCAAATACTTATTTAAAATTTAATAATTTAATCATAATTAAATTATGATAGGATTGTCAATATTAATAAAATAATAAATGAATAATATATAAAATATAATAATAAAAGATATCTTAAGTTAATAATATTACAAATTAAAAACATGAATATAAATCATGGTATATCTTGAAAATTTTAAAATTATATAATTATTTATCCATTTAAAATAATGAAATGAATTCAAACTTGAGAATCAAAATTAAAAAAAAAAAAAAAAAAAAAAAAAAAAATAATGTGATACTTAAAGATCTAAAGTGCATGTAAGTCAATAATTCTTTTACACAGAAGATCTCAGAAAACTTAAATAGTAAAGAATTAATGAATTTATTAAACATTTCTTAATGATTCCCCTTTAAACTTTAGGAACCGAAAAGTAAAAAAAAAATAATTCTAGACTATTCTATCATTATTATAATTTTGATTTTGGTAAATAAAAATAATAATAAAAAAAAGAGTCAACCCCACCCAAAGTGGTGAGCTCAACATAAATAAGATGACAGACTTGTGGTATTCGTGTTATTTTACATATGTCCTGTTAATGAATACAGACAATGGTCAAAATATTTAATACATTTATTAAATATTTTTATCATGTTAAAAGAAGTATTAAATATTTCTTTTTTACTTTATAATTATAATAAATTTTTATGTTTATAGTAAATGCCTTTTTTACTGTTCATGATATCCTTATCGTTTGAGATTATTACATAATATCAATTTGTCTCTTTTTTTTAATGTACAACTCTCGACATTTAAATATAAGTAAAATTAATTAATTAATACAATTTATCAAGAAAATAAGTTAATATTATCTAATTTTCTTAATGAGTAATTTAGGGAATAAATTTGGTATTAGAATATTAAACCATTCGAATTTATTCCTGTTTACAATGGTGAGCTGTCATTTGAAAGTTTGGAGTAACTTTCAATTGGAGGAGCAGCTGTTAATACTCTATGCATACAACCAATGTTTTATTACTATTATTCATTTATTTTAACGTTAAAATTAAATGCATCAATTTTCTGTCACTCTGTACTAAGTGATTAATTATCAAATACTCCCTCCGTGACATACACAAATATACCTCCTAGTTTTTTTTTTCCACACATAATAAATATATAAGATTATAAAATTAACTTTATTATTAATCTTATTAACTAAAAATGATATAGCATGTACGATAAAATGATCGTCGTTGACCTGAAATTTTTTCACATATAATTCAATGCGGAATTTTTGGTTAAATAAATGATCCCTAAGTATAAGTGATGGGTGGTGACGACTGCATCATCAAGATTGATTTGGATGAAGAATAATAATAAATTAATCCTAAAGAAATTTGTTGATTATGATAATGGAAAAATCATATTGTGAATATATATGAATATTACACGATGTGATTTCGCTTTGAGAGAGGAGACATGAGAATGAAATTAAGAAGCTAGTAGGGCCTTTGGCCAATATAGTTGCCAGGGGGAGAATAGTTACAAGTGACGAAAGTGCCTCCATTGTCACATTTAACTTTGGCACAACCAATGCGTGTGGAGTTTCTCCAAACAACCTGAGTGTAGTGTCCACACATCTGACCCTCAACACAAGAATTGGAATCGTAGTCATAATAGGGTTTCTCATCGACCCACAATTTCACTGCCTCTGCGCCACTTAGGTCACCAGTGCTCATAGCAAGATTCTCTCCGTATTTTCCACCGCCTCCCGAGTGGATCAGTTGGCAATCACCTTTGCGTTGATTAGCGTAGTTTTGAGCAAAAGCAGCGACGGTATCATCCCAACCCAAGTTTTCAACACCCACTTGTGCCCTTGCAGCGTTTTGTCCGTTCACGTAGTCTGCATGTGAGTCTTGAGCGTTGGCCATATGACCCACCATCACTATCCCCAACATGCAAAAGAGAGACAATGAAACCTTGCACAACCCCATTTTGATTAATATTGATTTCGACAATAATAGTAGAAGGGAGAGGGTGTTTGATGAAAAAGGTTGGAGATCTTGTGAGGTATTTATAGGGATCCTAGCATGCCTTCGTCAGAAACAATACCAGTACTCATGATGGGAAATTATAATTAACGGAAAGAATCCGATTTTTTTTTTCTTAAAAAAAATAAGTTATATTTATACTTATTATAAAAGAATCATCATTTTCATTTTCATTTTTTAGTGGACCATTATATCTCTTCTATATATAAAAAAAATTATATATTTTTTATTTGTATGTAACTATTAAAGATATGAAGTGTTTCAATTTTTTTAGTATGTTATAATTTGGATTTATATATTAAAAATAACATATATGTATTTACTGCAACTAAAAAAAATCGTATATTATTAATATTCATAATACTATTCATGAATTAATATATTATTATTGTTATATTTATAGATAAATTAATGATTATCAATAAGTTGTTAATCTCAATCTCAAATGTATTGAATTCGATCTTTTTAAATGAAGTTCGTCTGACTCTTATATATGAAAAATTGTGGTTAGAAAGTGAAATATCTCATAATAAATATTGTCTTAGATTATTTTACACAAATTAGTAAAAAATAATAAATATATAAATAATGTTTTTTAAAAAAATATACACTTATAATTAATTTTCTTTACCAATATAATACAACAATCATTTTTCACATGATATTATTACAAATGTAAATAAAAAAATTTAATACTATATTAAAAAGTTAATATGATATTTATTTTGAAATAATTTTTTTCTTATCATACAATACTTAATCATTATGGGACGAAGAGAATAATTTATTAATTACTAATGAGTGTTCTAATAGTTATTAATTAATTATTTTGAAATAAAAATAAAGCATTCAATATTTTGGATCTCAGATTACTTAAATGGTGAAAAAATTAGTGAATTTATTTAACATTGCTTAATGACACTCTTTTAAACTTTAGAAACCAAAAAACAAAAAAAAAACCCTTAAATATGCGTTTTATAGTCTCTGTAAATAGTGTCTGGTCGTGTTTTAATTAATCCTTGTAGTTTTAATTGTAAATTTATTTTTAGATCCTTAACTTTTTATAATGTTATTTTTTCAGTCTTAATCATTAATTCTAATTAATTTAGTGTTAAAATTGTTAGTAAAATAAAAAATATTAATTAAGATAATAAAGGTAACAAACTATAATTTTAATTAAGATAATTAAATTATTTTTATATACATAATTAAGTTATGTGATTTATTTATTATTTTATATAAATAAAATAATTATATATAATATTATTTTATAACTTATTTCTAATTTTATTTTTAATATATTATGAATAGTTTGTGTGTGTAATAAGTTTATATCTTTAAATGAATTAATTGATATTTTTTATATCTTTAATTTATTATGAGTCTATTAATAAGTTTTTAATTTATCTTTTGAGAGTGAATATATTTATTGGACAATTATCACTATAAATCATACTTGTTATTTATAATTGTCATTTATATAATTTATTTCTATATATATTTTTAAAATAAAATTTAAAATTATGAGATTATTTTACTTGTCCTGTTAATGAATACAGACACCGGTCAGAATATTTAATACATTTATTAAATATTTTTACTATTTTAAAAGAAATATTGAATTTTTTTTTTTACTTTTTGGTTATAATGAATATTTATCTTTATAGTAAATGCTTTTTAGTTTTTACTTTTCGTATCCTTATCGTTTGAGATTATTAAACAAAATCAATTTCTTTTATTTTATTTACTACTTGCTCCGAATTTAAATATTAAGAAAATTAATTAATTTATGTGTAATTAAAAATAATAATTAATATAATTTATTGTTGTTAATTTTAATTTAAATTAACTTTTTTTTATATCTTACTCTTCATTAGATTAATTGATATTAAGTAGTTGTTATATATATATATATATATATATATATATATATATTAATTAACTGCTTCTGATTAAATAAGAGAAAATTACATTCTTCTTTTCCGAAATCAAAATATTATACTGCCTTCTCTCTCAGAAAAAATTACAGTCTATATCAAATTCTAACAAATAATATTTTACCTATTTTTAAATTTTTTTTTTGTTAAAATTATTTATACTTTCGTTACAAAAAAAAAAGTTATTATCAAAAATTTCATTATAGTAACATCTCCCAAAGATTTAAATATTACAATATTCTCCCTCATCCCCCAAAGATTTAAATATTACAACTCTCTCTCTTCTTGCATTAAAATAAAAAGTTTTCTCCCTTAAATATGTTACACTGAATAATAATTTATCTTTTGATTTACATATTAAATTGTTATTTCAAAAATTATTAATTTTTCTAAAATTAATTATATATTTCAAAGAAATATTTTTCATTATTATTTTCACAAAACAGTTACCAAAATAAAAAATAATATATATATATATATATATAAAATAAAATCAAACACAAGTATTAAGAGTATTTAATCAACGTAATTAATGTAATATTTTTTAAAAAAGATTAAATAAAATAGCATTTCCATTATATAGGGTTAATAATATATTGAAGATAATATATAAGTATTGAAGTATTACTTAATTTATGTTATTATTAGTAAATATTTAAATAAAATTGTGTTTTATGATAAAGTATTATGTATTATATTTAATTAATATAATACTAAAATATGTATATTAAATATTTATTTTTAAATAAATATGTTTATATTAAAAATCTATTACTAAATTGTAATGATCTGCTAATGGTTTCTACACTAAGCGACACAACTATTGGTAGTGAAAAATGATCATCTAATGACTTAGGATTGTAAGTATATTAATAGCTGAATATGTATCATAATATAAGACATATAATAGTACATTAACTACACAAGTATGTATACACAACATAGATATAGTAATTCAGGCATCTAGCCAAAAGTAAACTATACAACCTATGTTAATGGTCAAGTAACTTGTATACATCACTATACAATTTCTACTCAAAGGTAGCTTCAAATTGAACAACCAGCTCCAGCACCTCCTGGTGGTCTCGACTAACCTATCTTTACCTTACTTTTATATCAAATATGATAATCGCAGTCTAAAACACATGCATAAAAACACGTAATTAAGGGTAGGCTAAAATTAAAAAAAAACATGAATACAACGCAAAACATCAACAACATTAAGCATATCAACACATCTTTATTACATCTTCAACACTATCAACATATAGTATCATAATGCAACTAACACTATCAACACAAACAACTTACTATGTAGCAACCTAAGGTTAGCACAAGCAACACATATCATCTCATAATTCAACACCTCAACATGATTCATTTTAAATCAATATTTGATATAAACAATATAGTTTAAACAATGCATCATAAGCAAAACATAACAACTATATGCATCATCACATATTTCTACACTAGGAAATATCTTATAAATTGGATATCAATCCACAATAACAAGCTAGATATCAATTCACAACGCAACAACTTGATTTCTTGGATATCGTCACTTAAATAATGGAGTGTAGTGATATTATTATGATAGAACAGTTGGGTATAGGCCTACCACAATATTAGCTAGCTTAACCAAGTTTTCTATGGGATTAGTTCACTAACTACTATCCAAATACTATGTCCTTTTGATAATTGATTAAGAACTAAGTTCTCGACTTCATATTTTACACAATTTGGTCGTTTTATACACGTGTGTCTTAACTTTGCTACACGATATCAACTAAGTCCTAGGGAAGATTCAACATAGCAATATTGTTCAAGAGTCAACTTCCCAAGAAGAATTTTCAACAAAGTTGAACTCTTAGAATACCACAGCACAATATCCACATAAATAGAATAAATGCCTTTTAAAACAACTTATCCTCTATAGTCCTAGGTTGGTCATCACAACTCAACAACATCATACTTAAATGTCTAAAGCATTCATCATCTCAACAACACAAAAATGTCATGCATTTAGCAAATTCAACACAACCTACAACTCAACTCAACTTTCAACTAGCAACTCACAACATATTCCTCATCATACAACATATAAACTTTCAACATATTGATTTCATTATCCTACAATGTTATCCACCCAATTCATTCATCATCATTAGTCATAAAACAACTCAAATAGAAAGTGTTGAACATACAACTCATTCATTAATTAGTAAGCAACCAACTCAATTAGAAAATAAAATATTTAATTAAGTGTTCACACTAAGCATGAAATTCCATACCAAGCATTAGACTTCTAAAGAGTCGTGTAAGAAAATTTTTAAGTTCCAACACTAATGGTAAAACCCACACTTAGTCTCAACCTTCTAGAGACACATTCAAATTCTCACGCTACTCATGAAACTCATGCTTACTCTCACAATATACTAGAAACTTCTACATACCTGAACATCCCAACAACAATGAACCTATCCAATCTCCAAAATCCTTTCAACTTATGTAATAATACATAAATAAAAAATAATTATCATAAAATTTAGTACTTATATATATATATATACGTAACTAAGATTTACCATGCAAACAGTTCATATATACAGGGACGGATGCATTTGTTGGAGAGTGGGGGCACTTGCCCCCACTACTATTTCATATATACATAATATATATTTTAAAAAATAAAAATTATATGTTTAAATTATCATATGTATAAAATATAGATTCGGA